GGCAGGATGATGGCAAGTTCAAAGGCAGCCTTAGCAATTTAGTGAGGCCCTAAGCAACTTAGTGAGATCCTGTCTCAAAATAAATATAAAAAGGGATGGGGATGAGACTCAGTGGTTGAACTTCCCTAGATTAAATTTGTAGTGAAAAACAAATTAGGTACAGGATTATAGAAATTAGAGTAAGATGAAGTAGGACAATTTCTGGGTTTTGCCAACAATTTCATAGTCTAAGAAAGCAAGTTAAAGCTGAACTAAATAGGTTTTTTCTTGATCTCCCTTGCTGTACAGAAGGTGAGATTGAGTCCTAGAAAAGAGAAAGGTTCTACATAACTTTATCTGCCGGTTAGTGACAGAAGCTGGTAGGTAACCTGATTCCTGATCCAATGCTCTTTTCCCATGCCTGCCTTTATAGACAAATATATTCACAGATTCTTTGATTATCCAGCTTTCTGCTGTATCCAGATACCTCTAACCAGACAGAAAGGAGGGGCAAGTGCATTTATAAGACATTTAGAAGATGGTAGGATAGAAAAGAACATTTTTTTCTCTCAGTAAGAGTCATCTGAAGTTTGGGGAAGAGGCCGTGTGGAAATTTGTGAGGTCATGTACACCAGACATAACTCTTTTTTGTACGTGGGTGGTTTTGAAGATAATTACATTTTGATATAGTTCCTTCTTTATTCCTGCTCATAATACTACCTGCTTTTGAGTTTCCTGGGCCTCTTTTCAAAGGCTTTGAGAAAAGCAGTCAGCCTTTTAAGAATGATGTAGTGATCAAGATCATAATCTTTTGCAATAATCTTGAGTTTGAATTTAGGCTTTATTACTTAGATATAATCTTGGGTCTAATACAGAAATAATGTTGGGTCAGAGCTTCAGTTTCCTTATCTATATAAGGAGGCAACTGGGCTGGACTCATTGGGTTGATATGACAATTATATACACTTTTCTTGACACATAGTAAACTTGCAATACATTTTATTTATGTTGTGGCCATCAGCATCACTCTTAATTTTGCCCTTGAATCACTCTCTGCTTCACCTTCTATTATATTATTCTCACATAATAACTTTTAGCATAGTTTTCACCTCCCCAAACTTATTATGTTACAGCTTTCTTAAAAAACAGAAAACAAAACAAAACAAAATCTTGGTTATCTCAACTGCTGCTATATAATCAGTTGTGAGGGGTGGAAAATAATTGTTAATAGTATTTTACATACTGAAGTTCATGGATAACTTTTTTAAAAGTATGATAGGATGTTCTAATGTTTCCTTTTTAAAATATGTTTTTAGTTGTAGTTGCACATAATATCATCTTTATCTATCTATCTATTTATTTATTTATTTATATGTGGTGCTGAGGATTGAACCCAGGGCCTCCCATGTGCTAGGCGAGTGCTCTACCACTGAGCCACAACCCCAGCCCCCAAATATTTCCTTTTAATATGGTCATTCTCACTTGCACTTATATTTGCTTCTTAAGTGGGAGAGAAATGAGCTGATGATAGCTGTGTGTTGAACACATCTCTCTTGGTTCCCCTGACTGAGGTCATGTCACATGTAAGGTCATTATATTTCACATGTGGCAACTGAAGATGAGTGGCCTATAGAAGATATTCTACTTCTTAATAGGACATACAAGCCCTAGCTCAGATTCAGTTCTAATTACTCCCTACGAGATCCCATACACTTTGACTACACCAAAATAGAAGCCACACTCTCTCTTACCTCTACTGCATGGTATTCTCTCAGCTATGATTGCCTGCCAAGCAAGATAGCTTCTTCTTCTGGGAAATTTTATCTTGTTGTTGAAGGCCAGAGTCAGGTGTCACCTCTCTAGGAAATTGAAATGCTTCTCCTTGGCATTTCCTCATTTGCTATTTGTTTGGGTGAATGAATGAAGCTCCACAACACACTGAGCACTAATTTACCTGACTTACCACAGCCATTACCTCTTAAGATGATGCTACCTTTGTTCTCTGAGGTTTATTGCCTGCCAATTTGGGGCCCCATGACAGGGAATGTTACCCTAGGAAGGCCATGACAAGTGTAGATGGGGTAGTAGGCAATGAATGCTGTTATCACAGAGACATGGGCATTCCAAAAAAAGAATTGCAATGGCATATCCTGGGGTCTTGGACAGATTGGTATGATGTGAGGAGATGGAGACTGGGAATCTGGAGATTCGGGCTTCTGGAAACCAAAATGGAGACTGATAATCAGGAGACCTTAGACTTCAGGCTATCAATTATTTAACAGCAGCCTTGGACAAATCACTTCACCTTGATGAGCCTCAGTTTTCCTCTGTACAAACCAGTTAATCACTAACCTGCTTACCTTCCCAGGATGTTATGAGATTTAGATGAGATTATGTGTTAGATTATTCTGGGAAATGCAATGCTAGTAAGGGCTTCTATGTCTCCCATTTATTTTGGGGATGAAGGCTGAACTCTTTTAGCTGGCTTTGCTAAGGCCTCCTTTTCTATCCTCATCTCTGATAGGGATACCATCCTTCAAACTCCTCCCTATTTGCAGTTTCCCTTGCAAGGCTGCTGTCTTTCCTGTGAGAGAGAATGCACTTCTCTCTTCTGCAGCCCCATCTTCATTCAAATTGGGTCACAGCCTAGATTTCACTAGAAACCTTCCCTTATCTTCTACGTGCCGGGGTAGAGATTGGGGTGAAGAGTGTTGGTCTGCACACATGGGAGCCATACAAGGGGTGGAAGCTCTCTCCTCAAGGTTCTGAATCTGTATGCCAGGGAATGTTAAGCCTTCTCAGACATCCCACTTCTTTGACAAGCTGCCTGAATTCATGAGAAGAGGATCATGAACTGGGGGCTTTGGGGTTGCCCCTGGCCACAGGCATTAGTTTACAATCACATTCAGTAAGTATTTTGACCCAGTTTTCTCATGTAAAGTATGAGAAATTTGTTGTAGACAACACTTAAGATCCTTGTTAGCTCTAAAGGCAGCAACACTAAATTGAAGATTATCCTAATTTCTTTGGAGGGAAGGATGTGGAAGGATTTGGGGTTGCGTAGATAAGTTGAATTTCCAGCCTGGTCTGGCCTAAAGCATTTAATAGACTGTAAACTCACTGAAGGCACAGATAATACATGGATTAAGTCCTTCTTATCTCTGCCATTTATGAGATGATCTCAGTGGTAAACAAATTATCTCACTTTTAAGCCCTTACTTCACCCACCAAGGAATGGATAGCATCTTTTACACAAGACTCAATTGCTTTTTGACTCTCTGCCCCTGATTTGTTCTGCAAACGTTTGTTAAGTACAAACATAAGGATTCTAACTACAAAATTATATTCAAGGAGTAGTAAAAGTCCCCTTCTTTTCCTTTTAGGTCAGGATAAAGCCAAATATCATAGTTTGCAGTAACCATGGTATCCACACTGGCAAGGAATTCTCATCTCATCTAGCTGTCCATACCTTCCAACACACATTGATTTTATAGACAAGAAAACTGAGGTCCAGAAAAGAGCAGAGGACTGCTTAGTATCATACAGTGAACAGCAGGCCAGAATCCTCATTAAGCATTTGTTACATAGCCATGAGAAAATACAGGATTCCTGCCTCTAGGCTTTTTTTCAACAGGTTAAGTGTCCTGTGACCCCCTGACTTCTGTATTTTTCTACTCTTTGGAAAAAATCTATGATAGATGCTAGCCACCTTGTATGTTTAGACAGGAGCTGATTTAGAGTTGCTGTCTTGATGAGTGAAGCCAAGTGGAGCTGCTGTTAGATCATACTCTGTAGATGCAAAAGAAGAGGACCTAAGCAATGATTCTCAGGGGGATTCTCTGGAGGCAGGCTCTGATTTACACATATAACCCACAAACACATACATCCTCTTTCTCTGTAACTTAGATACACAAACACACATCTCAGCAATCTCTGTTGTTTTGGGTTTTTATTTTGTTTTGTTTTGTGCTCCTCTCCATCACATGCTGATCTCAGGAAAAATTTGAGAAATCCCTGTCTCTGAGGTGGTCAATGATAAACATGGTTCAATGTGGAATCTCTCTCAGGGGTTCTGGCATTTTAACAGGGAGCATAGCCAGAGAAAATAGCCCACCAGCTGTGTCACATATGTTCTCACTGGATCCCAAATTCAGCCTGGGAGGGAGACATTGTAACCATCCTTTACAGGTGAGGACACTGAGGCATAGAAAGTTTTCTTATTATTCTCTAAGATACCTGTCACACCTCATTTATGGCCTCTATCAAGCCTAGAAATCCAATTTGGGAATCTCATCTCATTTGCGCCAAGAGGCAACAGGAAGGGGCCTTGCTTGAACTGAAGAAGGCTGACTTGGATTTTACCTGCATGGTCAAAGATGGTATGACCCTGGAAAAAGTAAGGAGGCAAATGTGCCCATTCTTTATCTGAAACTTGGCTCTAACTGGGCAGTGATGCCATTAATTTATACTCCCACTAGGATGAGGATGAGGGTGAGCAGCTGGGCTTTATGCAGCTCTCTTCTGGCTGTTAAACTCAGGGTTTTTTTTGTTTGTGAAAGGTTGTGATGGGCTGCCAGTGCCCATCTGTGCTTTGTACCCCAGATCCTTTGTGATTTTGGTGGTCCCAGGTTAGCCTATGCTAAGGTCAATGCAAGGCAAATTCATAACCCCTGTGTGAAGATTTTTACAAATATATGAAAATCAGAGTAGCATAAAAGGCCACTGGGCATGATACCAACTCTCAACTTCAATAAAAGCAGCCAATAAAAAGGGCTAATTAAAAGAACTCTGATGACATTCATCTGAAATTTTAGATTGTTTTATGTTTTAGCAAATTAACAACGGTGATAAGAGGACATTAGCAGCTTTTCTCGGGTCTTTTTGTTAACAATAACTTGAGCCTGCAGCCGCAACAGGGGCTGTGGCCAAGTTTTTGCTGGCAGACCAGCCAGCCAATATTTTATACAATGGATGACATTTCTGAAAGCAGGCGCAGAGACAAACCCAGAGTCACACATGTATTCCAACAAACAAGTTTCTGCCATTTTTAATTGTATTTAGAGCAACAAAAGATTTCAAGATTACAAAAAGAGAATAGAACACTAGCGCTTGGGGCTGGTCCTGCTGCCCAGTTGAGGCTAAGTGCCACTGTAAGAACTGAAGCCCCATCGAAAGAACTTTCAAGCAAAATTAATTTGTTTCTTTTAAAATTGTTTTGAATAATGCTCTCTCTCATTTTCCTCTCAACATTGAAAATTAATTCTTATCTCTGGTTACATAGTCTGCTCCCTTGGGCTGCCAAATTAATCTCAAGGACAGCACAAGAATGTTATGTCCGAGACACTCCCTAATCAATGTCCAGTCTAGGGAAAAGCAGAAAGGTGTCACTGGGTGGTTAAGGGGGCACTCTTTTCTTTCCTTGGGTCATTCCAGTGGTGGCTGCTCTCAGCACCCAAGTGGCTTCTGAAATAGAACAACCCCATAGGCACTTCACTGCAGGACAGTTAGCACCAAGGGCTAAGGTTGAGAGAGACTGCCAGCTTGGCTTGTTACAGGGACCCAAACTGTGAGGCAGCAGCCAAGGAGGGCACCACCAGAGAAGCAGCAACATTTTAGAAGAGTTTTTCCTTTGGGGTATGCGTATGTGTATGTTCCAGTCTTTGGGGGTCAATGGAATATGCAGCTACATAATGGTCTTTGCCAAGTAGATTATGTGAGAACTGTTTCAGGCCACAAGGGTCACCTATTCCATAGCTTCTTATTTAATTCCAAAAAGGCTAAAAGACAAGTGAGTCAAGGAAAGGAAGCAGAACTTCTGTTATAATGAATTGGGACTGAAAATCAATCAATACATACTTTCCAACCAAATTTAATAGAGTCACATTAAAGCTCAGTCAAAAGCTGTTGTTCGCTCTGAAAGTCCACCCACTAGATTCAAATATCTACAATTCTTTTGGGGACTAGGAGAATTCCAAGTGATGTGTGATCTTGGATGAAATGTCTGAAGAGGAATAACCAATGTGGATTTTTCTGCCTTCACCTAGAAATGGTTGAGGGTTGGGAGGCTCTGGGCAACAGACCCCAGTGTCAAACTCTTAATTGAAGAAAAATACCTCTACCCATGGGCAGGGATGGACCTTTACCTACAGAGATACAATTTCTAGTACACTGACAAGTTTAACACAGAAAAACACATTTTCAATTTTCAAAATCTTTACAAAACATATCCAAAACCAGAATTAGAGCACACAGACACCCAGTAGCAAGAGCACCTCAATCGCAGGGGAGAGAATTGGTTGAAAGATGGAGCACTTGCTCCAGGTTCCCAACTACAGGCAACTGCCTTTCTCTCACAAGAGTGGTGAAGACCAAGGAATACCCTTTGATCTTCCAATAACTCAGGTCCCATCAGGGGGCCACTGGCCAATCATTCAGGTGGGCTTTTGACCCCATGTCTGGGTATTCCCTATGGTAAATAGCCAGTTCCAATGAGTCTTCACCACCCTTTCCACATTCATCTGTCTTAGGCAAGTAAAGTGCAATACATCACATACCCTACCCTTTTCCCCCCTCTACCCCTTTGCAAGGCCTGTGCATCAGGCCCAATAGGGGCAGAGATCTCTTAGTTATCTGATCAATCCAGGTGTCTTGTCCATTCTGAGAGAGCTTCCAAAATGTAACTGCAGCCTCTCTCACAAGTACATGGCATCAGATATGACCTGGAACCAAATATAAAGGTGCAGAGAAAGGTAAAGCTATTAGAACACTTTATATCTATATATATATAATTCAATTTTGAAACACGGATACAAATACTAATTTACAATATATTTCAACCTTCTGCCTTAAACCGCAGAGAACTTTTTGTGCTGTCCAAACTGGGCAGAAATGAGGGTTTCTGCCTGCTGTCCTTCTAGTGCAAAATCTAGTCCTTTAAATGCTCCCCTTCTCAGCAAGGGCTTCACATCTTCAGATAAACTAACATGGGCACTAGCAAACACAGTGGCCAAGACCAGCTCCATTTCCAACCATGCAATGATGGAGCTTCAAGAATTTGCTCAGCAACTACTAGAGAAAAGGAAAGCTACTTCTGCTTATAAAATCACTTAATGAAGGACCCAGAATCCCATTTTTTCCAAATTATCTTCAACTCTTCTAAATATGTATTTTGTGAAGGGAAAAAAAATCCCACAAAACTCTTAGAAGTCAGTCACCAGCAAAGTCCTTTAGTCTGTCTTTGGATAGCTTACCAAAGAGGCACTAATGCTTGCTCCCTCCCTGCCCTTAAAAATTTTGGTATCTTAGCAGATACAATGTAATCTTTGGTTACATAATGTGATGCTTTCATCTCTTTTTCAGTCTTTTTAAAAAAACTTCTTTCAAAATTTTTCAAAGAGATCAGTGGTGAGAACAGATTTGCCTCTAAAAGCAACAAGGGTAGGAACTTCCTTTTCCAAGAAATTTCACATGTGAAATGGCTTCTTTTGACTTTAAGTTGGGATTTGATGTGGTGCTTTGGCATTCCTGGTTCGTGTGAACCCCCTAAAAGTGGGTTAAGCACTAAATTGATGACCTCAGTCCAGAGCCCTCTCACCTGGGCAACTGGCACACAATAAGCAGTAGTCAGCCTCTTGCTTTTCCAGGACTATACAGGGGTCATGCAGGGATATTTACTGGGCTGTCTGGAGAGAGTCTCTTGAAGTGCAGCGCTGGCATACGGCTAAGAAGGGGGACAGGGGGTGGCTTGGGCCTTTGTGCCCTGCTGGATATCAAGGGAGAGAAGGGGGAAAGGCCACGTCTGTGCTGTGCCTAATGAAACAAACACTTAGAAGCTACTCAAAGCTCAAAATCAGGTCATTTGTGTAGTGTCAGTGTCATGAGGGTGGTGGACATTTTCTTGAAAGTACAAGTCAAATACAAATATATTGTTTATATATGTCTACATGTATGTAGAAGTAGAGTATGGACAGAGAGGGATTTGAGCATCAGCACATTATTTCATTACCTGAACAATTAACCTCAGCAACTACCCAAAGGACAGAGTGAAACTTTTTTTTCTTTTTCTTTTTTTTTTAGTGCCAGTGAACATACATAAAAATATATGCATTACTGATTTTCTTTTTTTCAAAGATATATGACAGAATCCTTCAAAAACTCCCTTTCTCAGAGTAAGGTAATTTAAAAAAATAATGAACTTTCCAAGAACAACGATATTGTATGTGGCATAGAAAATCTAAGGAAAAAGAATTCAACCCCCATGTCAGCTCAGAGGCCAGACCCAGTGAGCTGCCCAGTAAATGGGCTGAAACTGCCACACGACTCTATTCTTTGACCAGAGTTCGTGACCTTGGCAGCTATCTGCTGCCCAGCACAGATGGGGCCTTCTCCACGATGCTCCCTCTTTTTCTCTTTCTCACTTTCCATCCCCATCAAACACTGCACACCTCTTTGGAGATGGTCCCCTTGATTTGTCCGGTGAGTAATCCTCATCTTCTAGCTCACCAGGTGAGTGGGTCTGGGTGGCCAGTCCTTCACAGGTGAGCACAGTGTACCAACCACATCAACTCTGTTTGTAGAGCAGAGTGCATGCGAAATGAGACTTCTGTCAGTCACACTGGTTGGAACATCAATGACCAAAAGAAAAAAAAGTATTCTTCTTTCATCTGTGGGAGAACCAAGCCAAACTAATACCTCCTCTGCTCACTCAAACCCCAGTGCAGAAACAAAAGGGCTAAAGCCTTGTTTAGGCTCTTTTTCCCTATTTTTGTCATTTGGAAATTCAGAGTAATCCAATTGTTGTTGCTTTCAACTACACTGCTGTTTCACTGATTTTTGGCTTTTGCAAATGAAAAACATATATTCATGAAGACAAAAGTCAAGACTGGGAAATCCATAAAGATGAAAAAATTGATAGAGAAATGGAAAGGAGAGCCTCTAGTATTTACAAGGAGAGGTATTAGAATGATATAATTGAATCCGTGTGCCACAAAAGATGAAAATCAAAACAGATGTAAAGGAACTATTAAAGTGTAACCTAGCTTAACTGAAAGGAGTCGTGGATGTTATTTTTTTCTGTCTAAGACAGCTAAAAAGTGATCCTGTACATAGGCCAGATGGTGTCATCACAAAGAAAATCAGAATCTATCCTATCCCAGAAAGGAACCTATCAGCTTCAGCTTTTGTCCACCAGTCTTGGATTGGCATATCACTCATGTTAGATTCCTTTCTCCCTTGTTATTTAAAGAAGCTGTTTTGCAAGTTCCTTTGGCTATTAATATCAACATAGAAATCAGGGACGGAAACTCATGTGAATAGTATCATGTCACTCAGAACTATCTTCTCAACCAGCAGAGTAAACCAACTAAAATGGGCAGCTTGGTGACTGGCCCTTGATTTCTTGAGTTTATCCAATGATGTTAAGAGCTAATTGAGGAGGCAGGGGCCAAGAAGAGAAAATAGGTGAACATCCTCCCCACTCCACATTCAGGGTTGGGGAACAAAGTCCAGAGAACAGAGGTGTGCCAAAGGACTATATGAAACCAGTGACCCAGGGGCATACCCTGAGTTTATGGGTGGCAGCCTATCTATAAGTGCCATAACAGCCAGACCTTTCCAAAGGAAGCCATGGTTCTGTAGAGAGTCGCAGTGGTCTTGCATGCCCCTCTGACATAGAGGTAGCAACAATGGTGGGGAATCTGAGTAACTATGGCCAATGTCAGAGCCCAGGGTCAGCAGCAGAGGAGGGGGCTGAGTAAACTTGTACCATTCTGACTTTAGGCTTTGCCTCTGAAGGCTTTATTTAATAGTCAAAGTCTTCTCTTGGTGTCTGCTTGCTTCTTGCCATGAGTTCTTCAGTCAGATATGCTGGGTGGCAAGGAGAGCATTTCAGGTTTTCTGGATCTAGTGTCTTCATTCTTCTAACCCTGGTATTCCACCTTGATATGGGTAGCCCCTTTAGCTGCTTTGAAGAAGGAAGTAGATATGTCTCCATTTATTGGAGAGTTTCATCTCTGGATGACAAGGGCAAGACGCCCAGTTTGTCTGATCCCTTCGATGCCTTCTTTTGGGTTTGTCTAAGGGCTCCAACAAACTATGTTGATAAGAAACACTTGGTAAGATGTCTAAGACTACAAGCATCTAGAGACAGATGTCAGGGCTTCTGGCCTGCTAGCCTTCACAGTGTGAAGGGATCTTAGCAGACAATCGGTGAACATGCCTAAAGAAGTGAATAAGCTTTACCACCATGACTGAAATGCAGTGTGGCCTACAAAACACTCAAGGAAGCGTGGAGAGAGCTTGTGGCCACATAGAGTCCATAGGTCTTTTAAAGGTGGAGGTAAAGAAGGTAGCATCAAGGGATCAACTGTACTGTCTCCTAAGCAGAACAGCCAAGCCATCACTTCCTTCTTCTCTGACTCCAGATGCAAGCTCCTCCCTGGATCATGCATGGGAAAGCAGAACTGGAATTTATAGGATCCTTCCAATGGGTCAGATCTCTCCACTCCTTCTCACTGATCTGACTCTTCAGTGGAAGTGGTCAAGTTTAGGCTAAAGAGAACACTTCATTTGAAGTTCTTTGAAAAGCTACTGAAATTTGATTGGAGGGTAGAGGCAGAGGTTGAAAGAGAGAAGGGTTTGAGGGGGAAGGCATTCACATGCAGACAAGTTTTCAAACAAGAAGCACATTTTTAGTATAATGAATTGCACTGCAGTTGAGCAGTCCAGCTCTCAGGGACCAAGGCTGTGGGCAGGTACTGGTGATCCAACTGCCCTACTTGTTTCCTCCTCTCTCTGTGCCCCCAGATCCTCTCTGGGGTCACCCTGTCCTTTAATGGCAATAGTCACTGGGAAAAGCTAAAGTCTTCCTGGAGGGAGGGGATGAACAAAAACAGTGACTCCCCATGGACCTGCAATTTTTACCTTCTAGTGACTTGTTGGCTTCTTTGGGGATTTCTGCTTATTAATTTATTTATTTTGAGGAAAATGTCCTCTCAGGGTTTTTTTTTTTTAATTTTTAAATTTTTTTTTTGTTTTCTGTTTGTTAGTTTGTTTTTCCTCAGATACTTTTAACTTGCTAAACTTCCCGTGGCATAAGGTAAGTAAATGTTTGTGTGGTTGGCACACAGCACAGTGCTGTAAACAAGCACAACCTGACACTGGGCCACATGAGGATCATCTCAGATTTAAAGAAATACAACACCATTCAAAACACAGATAGGAGCCACAACAGGGAGCAGAGTGTGAAGGTGCCATGGAGGATGAGAAAGGGAGAGAAGAAGGAAAAGAGAAAAAAGCCCAGCAAATAGAACTCAGGAACGTGTTCATGACAGACTGTACATCAATAGAGGAAATTCCCCAAGGCACTGCAGAGAAGTAGTGCAGAGTTATAACAGGCAGAAGACATTGGAAAAGGAGAGTGAGGTGGGGGAGGGAAATGGGGGCTTCCAAAGCTTCACTGTGTATGGAAATAGATGGGCTTGACTTTCCCAGAAAGGATCTTGGGCACTTGAACAGAGATGATCTCTGCCATCATTTCCGGAAAGTCCACGCTCACCATGTGGGACTTGATTAGCAGGTCAAAAGTGAACTGATGTAGCTCTCTTGCAATCTGCAGGGGACAGTAAGAGAAAGAGAAAACAAGGTTGATAAGGAGTTGGTTTCTGCCAGACTCTACCCCCACCTCTGATTTCCAAGACTTTTAGCATTTTGTCCCCTTGTCTATCCTTGGTCCTGCCCCATGAGTGAATTTGCCTGTGTGTGTGTCTCGCATGTGAATTTGCCTCTGTGGTGTGTGTGTGTGTGTGTGTGTGTGTGTGTGTAATTGTCTCTGGAGAGTCACTGGGGGTTCCCAAGAGATCTCTTACACCATTGCAAGCTCTGTGACTTAGAACTGGGTGTTCCTCTTCCACAGTACAGCCCCCCCATCTCTCTCTCTCTCTCTCTCTCTCTCTCTCTCACACACACACACACACACACACACACACACACACACGCAAATTCACATGCACATGACTCAAGGAAGAGGGGGAAAATAACCAGGTCTATCTTGTCTGACTAGAGAATTCGTGCGCTTTAAGCTTCTTCTCTGAGTCCCAACTGCTCTATTCACTCCTCCACCCCTTTCACAACATCCAGCTGGGACACTGTGACCTGAGTTCCTTTCTTCTCCATCGCATTTTCTTCCTGGACCACACTCAAAGCCAGAGGGAAATGGAAGCACCTCCCAACAGGTGGTGCCAGACCATCCAGAAGCCTATTATCACTTGGCTCTATCAGGCTGCTCTCCCTGATAAAGCACCCTCCATCATTTGCTTACAGGCTGCACAGAGTCCAGGAGCTTGGTGAGCTGGTAGAAGCGCCTTGAGCAGGATGTGGGATTTTTTCGTTTGCATGCAATGATACGATCGAGTTCCTTGATGTAGTTCATTCGAAGTTCATCAAAGAATTTTTGATTTTTCAGCCCATCCACTGGAACTGATGTGGGATGAAGACAGAATGGGGAGGGGAAGCATGCCCAGGAAGGAGCATTAGACAAAGCACCAAGTTTTCTGACCACAAACTTGACCGCCACCCCCACAGGGAGGGAACCATCTACTTGGCTCCCTGACAATTGAAATCTGTGTGCCTGGGGCCTTCAGTCTGCCAGGGAGATCTCAGGAAAAAGGAGAGCTGGACCCAATCGGAAGGGAGTGAAACAAATAAAATTCACTGAAACTTTTCTCAAGTACCCATTTCTTAGGATCTAAGTTTTTATGTTGTTCATCATTCAGCTCTGATTGACAGAATTAAAACATAGGGCTCTGAATATGAAATTGTGCCTCCTTTCTTTTTCACATAGGCTAAGGTAGCACTCTTCTTAGAAGAGACATTGAAGAAAGGCTGCTTGGTTGCCAAACAAGCTGCTAACATAGACTTCCTCCTGTTGGTGGAAGACGAAATGTCTTCCGGGAGACAATCCCTCCTGCTCTACTACTCTGCAAGGAATACACAGTGGGGTGGTTCATGCCTGTTTCTATCCCAGAAAATGTGGGAAAAAAATCAGAGGTGTGCTGGAACCAGTCAAAACACCTAGTCTTAAGGAGAGACTACGGGTAGATTAAGACTTGATGGAGGCTCGAGTCCACCAAAGAAATTGATCTGTAGCCATGAAATTGGTCTTTGTTGGGGAAAAGGATGCTGATGTAGTGGGGGGAGGGAAGAAGGGAAATGTCCAGGAGCTGGTTCCTCCCTGATAATATTTTGATGGAAAAAGTGGCCCCCCTCAGTCTTTGTGACCACACAGGCATTCCCTGTGCCTCTAGGTACTCACTTATGCTGAAGAGTAGCAATGCTTTCATGCACAGGAATTCCTGGGGGGTGATTTGGAGCCAACCAAATTCTTGAGAGAGGTGCCTCATCCGGACACACTGGCTGTACATTCTGGACTTGTGCATGCGGTACCTGTGAAGGAGATACAGAGGAAGAAGAGGAATCAGGGGAGGCTTCCAAAAAGCCCAGAGGACATATCTCTAGTTTTTCTTCCCTTCCTTGGCTTCTTCAAAAAAAAGTCTATTTGTCCTGCTGGTGCTTCATTGACAAAGAACAAATCTGTTATTTTTTTCTAAAATCCTGGCATCCTGATAATTAACTACTCATCTTCTCTGGCCAGGATATGGGTTAGCACATGGAATTTCCAGGTCTCCATGCCCCCTCTGTTTCCTGAGTCATGGACAGGAAAGCATAACCAAATGAACACAATGGGGCAAGCACATGGTCTCCCTGACTACAGTTCTAGTATCCCAGCTACAGCAAGAGGCAGAACCTGCCTCCAAGGCAGCCAAACTTGAAGGATTTCTAGGAGAGAGGATCCAGCAATCAGCACTTCATATAAGGACACAGGATTTGCAAGGGACCACAGGTGTCTATCCTGTCAACGCTCCTGACTGGCTCTTGGTTTGAAAGTCATTTCTCATAGTACAAATTTAACCATTTCTTTAAAAACTTGCAGCAATAGAGATTCCATGTTGTCCTTTGAAAATGAGTTCTAGTGCTTCCATGTCTGCCAGGAAGTTTTTCTGAATGTCTGAATCTAAATGTCTCCTGGTGAAGGGGAGACCACTCCCTCACAGGCTGGCTGTTCCTTGCCACAGTTTGGGAGCTGTAAACACATGTGAGCTGCTTTTATTATGGTGACTTGTGAACAGATTATCACATTATCACCTATAAATTATATGAGGAAGTGGCCAAGGCTTGGGGAGGAGGCAACCCCTCTGTCCCATGATGGGTCATCGCATGCTTGTAAGGGAAGATACAGTATCTTTCTGCTAGTAGGCCTTCCGGGTTTGGCACTTCAGAAATCAAGTGTGTGTGTGTGTGTGTGTGTGTGTGTGTGTGTGTGTAAGACAGTAATTGATTGTGTACCATGTCAAGAAAAAGGGATTTGACACCCACTGAAGTGGTGGGGACAACGACCTCCCAGATGGAGCCTAAAGTCTGTGGTTTGACATTTTGGTTCCCAAGCCACTAGCCTGTTCCACAAGCTGAGCAGGCTTGGCATTGTGTGGGTGGAAGCTCAGCAACCTATTTCAGACAGATCTTGGGTCTCCTGCATAAAGAAAAAAGGGGGCAGGTGCTGCAGAATAATTCAATTCAGTCTGAATTCCAACTAGAAAGAGGAAGTGTTTAGATAGTATCACAAGTCAATTGACCAGAACAGTGTTGCTCTAAGCTCCATCACCCTGGGGAATTTTTCAGTAAGACCTGCTGATTCTGGAGCCTGGCCCTTCTCTGATCTCCACTATACTTCCATGCCTCTGTTGATGACAACACTGCAACCTTTTTACTGCTCAAATTATGGTGCTGGCATGAAGGAGTCCTAGCATATTGCTGCAGGCTCCTGAGACAGAGAAGGTAGGGAATGAAGAAGAGAGAATGAGAAAAGGCAAGTAAGGGATTCAGAAGGGAAAGGAAAAAGAAATATGGGAAAGGGCAAAATGAATTGACAGAAAGTTAAAGGAAGGAAAGGGGAAGGTGATGGGAGATCAGAAAAGGAGAGGCAGGAATGGAATTCAGAAAGGAGAACAGAGGTAGATGGAATACAAAAATGGATAAGGCGAGAAATGAAGATTGGAAAACACTGAGCATATTTTCTGGCATATAGTAAGTGTTCAATAAATGACATGTAGGGAGGTAACACTAAGATTTTACAGGTAAGATTTGAGGCTCAGAGAAGTTCAGTAATTTCCCTGAGGTCACAATTAGGATTCAAGCCCTTTAGCCTTACAACATATGTTCCCTGCAAAAAAGGGAAAGAAGGGGAAAATGGGGATAATGATAGGATTTTGAATCAGAGAGAATGGAATATGGGTTGGTCCAGCTTGGACCAGTCCCCCCCCCCATTATCTTTTTCTTTGGGCCTTAGTCCCTCTGTTAGTATTTTGAGGAGACTGCCAGCAATTATTGTCCCTCAACTGGGGTTCACTGTCTCCTCAGTAGGTGTTAGAAATGTGTGGGTCAGTCAGGCTGTCAGAGTGACTGGATTTATGTTTACTATTTAGTGGGCAGGTACCAGAGATGTTAAACATATTCCAATATGCAGGAACATTTTACACAATGAAAGAAAAATTCCTCCCCAAATGTCAACAGCATTCATGTTGAGAAACATTGGTCAGATGTTTGTAGAGACATTGCGAGCTCTTATATAATAAGATGGGGAAGTAGGCCTCAATAGGGTTCAGGAACTCTGGGAGTTGGTGCATATAGGACTCTGACCCATGGGTAGCTCTGTGATACCTCTGGACAAAATGGATGAGACTCAGCCAGAAAGCTGAAGTGGGATGCCACAAGCTTACATAGAAACAAAGACAGAAATAAGGATTCAGAAAATAACCAGTTGTCACTGGGCAACACTCCAAAGGTCTCAAGACTAAAGAAGGTTGAACATGTGCTCAGGGAGTTGATTCAATCACTGGAGGGCAGCAGGGGCATGGGGGTTGGACATGAACAGTTAGGGGGGCTTTTCAAGGTCTTGCCCAGAAGATGGCATCATAGGTAACTTTTTGGAGATTTGGAAACCACAACCCGGGTCATGCCAAAAGCCCAGTGGTTATTCTTAGATTCTGGCTACCAGGGCCGGCTGGGTTGAGAGAGTGCAACTGGGGACACTTACTCTCTCTTGCATAGCAGTGCTGTGCTACCAGGAACTACTGCCTGGAGGTTTTATTTTAAGGCTCTTCTGGGTTAAAGGCTGACCAAGAGGGAAGCTCAACTCCTGCCTGACTGAAAAGATTCTCTGTGGTGAAACTAGCTCAAGGTTTTTGGGACGATAATTCTGGCCAGCTCCATTCACAATGCAATTGAAGGATCTCAGACAGCAAACATAAGATTATCATCATTAGGAAAAGGGGGAATAAAAAAGGGATTCCTTTTTTAAATTTCTTGCCTACCATGGGCTAGATACTCCATATCCATTTAATTTAGTTATAACAAAACATTTGAGATGTCTCTATTATTATTTTAAAAATAGGAATCTATATGAGACTTGGTCCCAGGAATACTTACTCATTGAAAACCAGGTCAGGAGCAAAGTAGAGCATCCTGGAGTTGACATTGGTGAAGGACCTCCAGCCCATGGCAAACACCATGAGTCCCATCCAGGAGTACTGAATGACTGCCATCTGGTCATCCACGTGTAAATTACGGAAGCCTAGAAAAGAAGGCACAAAGGCAGTGGTTAGTGCAGACATTGATGGACTGAGCTAAGTCTTTACCTCTGCTGAACTGAGAATCTCTAGTACTCAGGCAGCCCTTGAGAAGCCCCAGGGAACATCAATACTGGCTTCTGAGGGGTGATAAAAAAATTATATGGTAAGGATAATATTCTTTGCCCTCCCTACTTCACTGAACTGTTCAAATGAGATCATGATGGAGGCCAAAAGGCCATTGTCAGTTGGAAGAGAATAATAATTGAACATTGACTACTTATAATGAATGAACTCCTTTCTGAGCACTTATATTACTTCATTTAATTCTCATGACAATGAATAAAATAGGTATTCTTATTATCCCCATTCTGAAAATCAGTAGGAATGGGTCACAGAGGGGTCAATAACATGTCCAAGATAATATGGCTACTAACTGGCATATCAAGTTCCAAAGCCAATAGTCAGACTCCAAAGGCCATGCTCTTGATTACCACACCTTTCTGAAGATGCAGTGTAATAACCAATTCTTCCACATGGACAGCACTTCTAAGTTTACAAAGCTCTCTTAGCTACAGTTTGATTTTATCCTGGTAACAATCTTGGGAAAGGGATATTACCATATATTATCATATAGGAGGAATGTCTTGACAGCCACTGGCCTTCTTTAAACCACCTACAGGCTCTCTCTCTTTTCTCTGACCTTCTTTCTACCCCATATACCTCCTCTCCATTCTTTTATACTTAATAGTTTCTACACTCTTGCCATTCTCAGCCTACTTCATTTATATATAAACAGGCTGTTTATAATCTGCTTCTCCAGACTAATTTCTTGCAACTTGCCTTCAGATAATTTAGGTCCCAGCTGTTTTGAAAAACTTAAAATGTACTGAACACTTCATCCTTTCCCAGGCCTCTACAGCTCTGCTACTTCTGAATAGACAGTTGTCTTGCCTAGAATGTGTTCCCCCTCCAAAAGCCTTCCATCTGATAAACACCTACTCATCTTTCAAGTCTTTACTCAAAGGCCACCTCCACTCTGAAGCATTTTCCAACTCATCCAAGCAAAATAATTATTCTTCTTTTACTTGCTCATTGCACATACTGTAGCCCTAGCCAATTACAGTGATAATTTCACAGCCATGAAATCCATCTATATGCATGTTTTCTGCCTGCAAGCCTTGGAGCAACTTGAAGACAGGAGTCATATCTTCTAATTGATCTTTGCTTTCTTAGTACATAGCATGGTTCAGGTGTTTAACTGGGCATTTGAGAAATATTAAATAGGTTAAGGGCCCTCAATTTTATTTCCATTTTGAAAAAAATGGGAATTAAGTAATATCCAAATGACTTCCCTTAAGCTCAGAAAACAGACCCTTCTGGAAGCTACCTCTGAAATAGCACATGGGTAGAAAAGACATAGCCATGTTCCCTAAAGATTGTGAAACAGTTGAATGCTTAAAGTTATAAAGTCATTGTCTCAGACCTCATCCCTACCAGCATACCCTCTTCTTTTCCCCCAATAAATTCATAATTATCTGAAATTTTGTTTTGTTGACTTCATTTAGAATTCTTTCTTGACTTCAGATCAAGTTTCTCACTTTCCTATTGATGACCACATTTAATCCTCACAATAACCCTGGAAGGTCGGTGATGTGACACTTATTTTATCAACAAGGAACCTGAGGGCCAGACAAATTAACTGACTTGGTCAAGGTCACATAGTCTATATGTGGCTGAACTGGATCTGGAACCCAGGTGTTTTGATTCTCTGCTCCAGTGCTTTTTCCGCTCCACTGCTGAAGGTCCCACCTCAGAAGTTACCAAGGTCACCAACTTTCCTTTGCCATAGGCTTGAGTCTGAAGACTTCACTACCCAGACATAGTGTTCTGCTTGGTTGGCATCTGCACACCCTCACATCTCCACTTCCCTTTTCTTTTAGATCCCATCTTCCAGAGATCAGGGATGCTAGAGTCTTTCACAGCACCACCCCTGGCTGTAATCTCAACTCCTAGACCTGTGCTTTCTACCTTGATGATACTGACATGCTAACAGACTGACTGGATCCTCAGAACCCAGACAATTTCCTGCCTGGAGCTTTTCCATATTACAGAATGCCTGAGACTGACCTTTCCCAGTAAGAGACAAGATACAGGGTCCACGAGGGCAATATCTGAGATTCCTTGAGAAAGTGGCCTGGGATTTTGTACCCTGAACCTCTGGAGTGGGAGGCAGTAGACAGCAAAAAACAACTACAAAACAAAACAAAACAAAACAAAACAAAAAACACCTCCAAACAAAAACAAACAAACCAATAAGCAAAAAACAGAACAAAACAAAACAAAAAAACCTAAAACCCCCAAACAACAATACTTTGGCTGGGGGAATTGTGATCTTCTAGTGAAGTGTGTGAATGTGAGGGATGAATGTGAGGGATAAATTATAAAGTTAGTAAAAAATTGTCTATACAGATGCTTCCTCCCACCGTGAGACACCAGAAAACTAATGTAAGAGATGAAAAATGGCTATCATACTAAGAGTCCTTAGTGAAAACTGCTCAGCTTGCAAACCTAATGACTGTGCACACATTAGCACTGTGGATGGCCAATTTTCCTATAGGCATAATCTGATTATAACACCTAACTCTATGCCTAGCTTGCACAATGGCCTGCTCAGATAGCATGGTTTCCAAGGTATGGCTTGAGATAACAGTAGCCCTACATATTTCTGTAGGCACACATTCACTCAACACCTATTTGGCAATGTGTTCGAGTATTCTGGAGAACTAGAGAGGAGCCCTTCTGAGGTTTTAAAATCCACCAAACAGGCTAGGGAGCAGAGGCAGTTTCTTTGTTTTCTCATTAGAATCCAATCATTATTAGCAATCTGCTGTGGAAACTTGAAGGCCCACATCTAGTCTGGGACAGCAGACTCAAAGCAAGAATAGTTTAGAAATATTTGCTGCTGTATTGCAACTGCCAGTCAAGGTTTTCAAAGAAGACAGTTCAAACTTGGGGTCCCTGCATGAGCTTCTTGGAAGGGTAGTGGTAGGTTGGATTGAGCTTAGTGAGAGAAGTGGCCTAGAACTCAAGACTCAAATGTAAAGAAAGAAGCACAAAGAAGATATGTGATTTGCTTGCAGGCACATAACCAGTACATAGCTAGCATTCGAAACCAGATACATCTTATACTAAATATACTGTGTACATACAATCTATTTGCTTGCCTCTCATTTATAGTTAGAATTTATTAATGTGCCAAGTGTCTCAGTAGGCAATTTCCAGACATTACCATCACAGAAAACTTACAAAAAAATTTATCTGACTAGGTGCTTAGCACAGTGCCTCACAAAGGATAGGAATTCAAACTGCTGGATGAACAAATTACTTGAACTAGAGGTAATTATTGACAATGTGAATGGCAGTCCTTATGAATGTGGTAATCAGTTTTCTTTTAAAGCTATTCTTCTAAATGACTCAGAGTCAGAGATCATTTACTCTGGCAAAGTAGATGGTGAGCTGAGTTTGGCTTGAAGATGTGTTAATGTAAGAAGAGGGCTTTCCTCCTAAGGCTTGAGCCAAGGAAAGCCAGTGGTCCTGTTATACAAATTCTGCCATAGTTATTTGCAGTAGATTATATTCAAGATGACTGAATTAGCAATCAGAGGGTCTGTGCTCAATTTTTGGTTCCATTTGTTAAGTGACCAGTGTAGCAAGTTAGTTAACCTCTTTGAGCTGTGGCATGTAAAATGGAAATAATTGTCCCTATGATTCAGAGGAGCATTTTGAGGATCACATTTATGAAAAGCTATGTACCCTATAAATAGACACATGTTAAGTATTTGGTTATGGCTTAGGGAGAATAAATTTTATTTATTCAACTAGTTTTTGATACCAGAGATTGAACTCAGGGGCACTCAACCATTGAGCCACATCCCCAGCCCTATTTTGTATTTTATTTAGAGACAAGGTCTCACTGAGTTGCTTAGTGTCTCGCTTTTGCTGAGGCTGGCTTTGAACACATGATGCTCCTGTCTTAGCCTCCCGAGCTGCTGGCAATACAGGTGTGTACCACCATGCATGGAAGATTAAACCATAAATGTCTATCAAACACATGACATTAAGATATCTAGGTAAATAAATAATAAGAATTAAAACAATTTTCTCATTTTTCTTTATTGTAATTTTTTTTTTCCTGTCTTTGTGAACTCTCAGTTTTGGCATAGTACCTATTCACCCAGAGGCCTTGGGCCTCTTTCCCAGAGATCACACTAGTTAGATAACCTCAGCTTTCCAACCTGGGAAAATATTAGAGACAGTGTAATGGCTACAACTGGGCTTTGTGAGGTAGAAGTACAAAGTAGGAGTTTGAAGGCCCACATGCAATGTCTCTGAAAATAGCAAGCCCACCATATGACCCAAGTGGCCTTTGGTGGTGAGGCTTTGACCCCTCACTGTAAATCTCAGAGTTACAGAATGGCTGAGGTGCTACAGAATATAGAGTGGAATGAGGAGGATGTTTGAAATCAGAGGGCTCAAGTTCTGGCCCTACTGCTTTCTGGCTGTGTAACTGTAGGCCAATCACCTCTCTTCTCAGAGCTTCATTGTCTCTGAAAAATTTAAGAAGGAACCCTTACTTTACAGGATTCTTATGAGAATCAAATCAGGTAACTGCTCTTCTCACTACAATTTTCCATCTGAATAGCAAGTATTATTAGAAGGCAGGTTAATCTTTGACTTCACAAAAGGATATTTGGTTGCTGATATTTCAAAAGAATTTTGAATCACAATCTCAGGATTTGGAGAACCTTTATAGAGCACATGCTTCACTGGTTTTCAAACTGTTTTACTTGAAGCCACAAGATTCTGCAAGACTAATGGGGGGGGGCTTACCTGCAGTAGTGAGGGACAAGCTGAGTTAGTGAGATACAGGCAAAAGACTGCCTTTAAATCAACAGCTTTACTTGTATCTGGGTACAATGCTTCTTAAATTTAATTTTTAGTTTACTGATGTTTAATTATAAATATTAATTCATGGTAATTGCATAAAAACATTTTTTTGCGGTCCTGTGGAATGAACCCAGGGTCTTGCACATGCTAGGCAAGTGCTCTACCACTGAGCTACATCCCCAATTGTTTTTGGATAAATAAAGAATTTGGGTTGCTAAAGGAAAGTCTATGAATCCTTGGATAGAGGATCTCTAAAGCTTCCTTAAGCTTTAATATTTTAATAATCAGACTTGTTCAAACAACATATCCTAGGAAGGGAGTTTTCCATTCCTGGAGGTGTCCAAGCAGAAGTTAGACAAACAATTGGCAATTATTTCACTATCACATAAATTTTCTTTCCACCGTAATAGAGCACTAAAGCTTTCTTGAATCAAAATTTTAAAACTATTAGTTCCATCCAAAGAATTCATTACACATTATACATTTGGAGAAACAGACTGAGAAGGTGAAGTTACCAGCAGACCTAAGATTAGAACACAAGTGTTCTACTGGGCACTGTGTTACATGCCTGTAATCCCAGCAATTTGGTAGGCTGAGGCAGGAGGTTCCCAAATTCAAAGCCAGCCTCAGAAATTTAGGGAGGCCCTAAGCAACTTAGCAAGAGTCTCATAAAAATTAAAACAAAACAAAAGGGGCTGCAGATGTGGCTTAGTAGTTAAGCACACCTGGGTTCAATACCCAGTACCTTATAAAAGAACCCAAGTGTTCTAACACCCAACCCTGTGTTCTTTTTTATCATCTCATATATATAAGTTGTCCTGTGGTATAGCTCCTGAAGGTGACATTGAAGATGCACTGTCAGGATCCAGATTATCTCTGGAGTTAGCCATAAATATGTATGTATATGTAAGAGCATCTTAAGGCATATGTAGGTATGTGTATATGATTAATAATTATTGTACTTTTTGCTGACAAATTCTTCATGTTGAACAAGAGGATCTGACAGCTGTACATTGGCATGAGCCATCTGGGACACTCAAATCATGCTGCCTTTCTTGTTTAAAGTGAGGATTATAGCAATCCTGTCCCCATAGCTTAATAGTGAGGACTGCCTGAATTAATGAATACATTGCCCACAGGAGTGTTCCCTAAATATGATTGTCATTCCCTGCCCTTGTTTCCTTTTCCTTACCAGGCAAAGCCTTGGCCCACTTCACCACGTGCACAAGCTGTCTCTCGCCCAGTTCATTGAGGCTGGAGAGCAAGGCTGCAAAGGAGTCAGGTTGGTTGTTGTCATGTCCAGCACACACCACACCTGGCTCAATGGCTTCCAGGACATTGAGAAAGATGGGCTGGCACTCATAACCTTCAATGTGTGATACTGTCATCTTCTGGGCTGGTTCCTCAGTGGGGCTGCTGGCACTAGAAGTCTCTCCTTCCTCCTGTAGTTTTAGATTGCCAAGTTTCTTCAGCTTACGGGCTATTAAAAAGGAAAAGAAACTTAAATTTATCATCAGTGACCAAAAGCACACAGCAGAGCTACCCTGTTCGGTAAATTGTCTGAGCTAAGAAAATAAAGATGTTCATACTCCTTGGTCACAGACTCTAAACTCCTTAATAACAGGTTATCATTCAACATTGGTGGAATAGATGATTTGTCATCCTAAATTCCTGCTAAACCCAAACTTTCTTACCTTTCTTTCTCCCCTGATCCTCCTGCCAGGCCACCTAATGTACTCTTGCAATTGGTTCTGCCTGAATACAGCCTTCATTATTCATACTTGGAATCTTTCATTAATTCATTTGTGAATATTTGTGGTGCATTCATTCATTCAATTACTCAGTAATCCAACAGACATACACTATTAGACCTTTTTTTCTGAGTGAAGAAAAGGATAGGTACTGGTGCCTGATGGAAAATAAGTAAATGCCCACAAACAGTGCCAGAAAATGTCACACTTGTAAATGCTATAATAGAAGCATAAAAAAGAGAAGAAACAATAATATCACCTAATGTTTAGGGTTAGGAAATGCTTTACATGAAAGGGGGCATCTTACCTAGTCCTTGAAGAGTGATGAGAATTACACTATGCAGAGACATAACTATAGAACAATATAGATGGTGTGCATATTTCATATTGAGAAGAGTGGCTATTTATAAGATTGAACACAAATATGAGGGTTGATTTTTAAAGGGGCATGCATATATTATTAAAAGTTTATGCTTTATCTTATAGGTAATATATAAATAATGAACACTGTAAATTAAGAGAGTGATGTAAATGTGTCTATGTCTAGGATGTCTAGCAAATTGCCAGGGAAACAGCTCTCTTGAAGGATGATGAACCTTTCTCTTTGGGTGTCTAGTATAGCCTCTTGGAATTTAGTTTGCTTCCACACATACATTTCTATAGTTAAAGCTCTATGAAGATGGAAAAGTTGCTAGGCACTTATGTCACTATGGATTATCAGAGAATAGATGTACAATGATTGAGAATTTAAGTATCAAATGGGAATGAAGTTTAAAAAATGGCCTACATAGTCCATTACATTACATTCTCAGACTATAAAATTCCATCATAACAATTTGGGTGCAATGAACAGGAATTTTCTAGTGTACTATTTCTCACTGAACAATGTAACGAGCCTCAGATGTTGTCAGAATTATACCCATAGTTGAACATGCTCTATAACACACATAGTGATTTTCTTCTTTACCAAAGGGTATGGGAGAATATGAAGAGCTGAAATCCCTAACTGCATCAGAGAAATGATGGAATGTCTCTGCCTTTACCATCTGTCTGGAAACTGGGAACCATACTAGGATACAGCCATTAGAAAGGATAATAGAAATAATATTCTTTTAACAAACCACAATAATCCAAAACTCTAACCTTAAGAACCATCTTCACCACATGCACATACACAGAGCTAGAGGTCCTTTGGCATTCCAATGTTTACTTTGTGCTATTTCCCCTAGCATTTTTATTGACATGATTATAAATAATTGAAAAGGTCATAACTCTGAAGTCTAGCATAGACAGATGCACCAGAGTGGATCATAAACCACTTTTTCTCTAATCCTTTTTAAATAGTAATAAATTAAAATGGTATAAAACTAAGACAAGTTTGATTTCTCAATTTAAATTGATAAATACAAGAAAACCTACTGCTCATCTATTTCTGCCTCCTGCAGAAAAAGACATATATCTGGAACTGACTTTAAACTCTAATTGGAAAAATAAGTCCTGCAATGCAAACCCCAATCATAGTGTTGCTCAGTAAATCAATGCAAGAATGCATCACATGTTTGTACTGACAATGTAGGGAAGAGGACAATGATGGGGTTGGTAACACAAGAGGAGCTCAGAGAAGAACTCAGGGAAAAATAAGAAGGAAGCCTGGGAAACCAACCCTGAGTGCAAGATGACCTTGTTCAACAATCATTTCTGCAGGGCTTGGGCACAGCCAGTAATTAGATATGAGTACCCACTTCCAACTCCTACTTCCCACCAAGGGCAATGGCTGGAAAGTATGGTCTGGTCCAAGTCTATCTTCTTCTAGAGCTAGAGGCCTAGCCTCCACAATATCTCATTGTCTGGTGAATCCATTGTTAACATGAGTTCTCAAACACAGCTCCACACAGTGGTGATGCCTTTAGGATCTTTTCCCTTGTGCAATTTTTACAAGCAGACCCCACCCTCCCCATCACTGGTACTTTCTGTCCTTGAGCTTAGTAGTTGCCAGATCATGTGATTCCCCTTCTTGTGTTTCAATTTAAGGATATTTTAAATAATTTAATTCCACAGCAGTCTTGGTAGGGTTCAGGGATATTTTTTATTCCTGGTTTTCAAATGTGTAAACTGAGGTAAACATAGCTGTCAAGAAGGAGAACCCAATAATCTAAACCTTCCCTGATGATTCAAAGTACACTTTCTTTCTATGATGTCAGGCCTATGCCTCAAAGCTTAACTTTAAGCCTAAAAGAAGAATTGAAGAGTGTTGCTGGGGTTGTAACTTCCTTGCCACTCATCTTTACCCTTGACTCTAAACTTTAATAACTAGTATCACATCCAGAAGGAACGAGACAGGAAGCAATGAAAATACTCCAGTCACCTGCCTAAATGAAACCATATTTGGAATATTATAGTGCCTTAAGAGTCACAGCATGACAAAACAGGAAGGGTCCAATAGAAATCATATTATCCAGAGGTCACAGATTGAAATACCCTCAGGATCCTCACAGGGAATACAGTGGGTGGGTACTTTTGTGTGCATATATGTGTAGGAGAATGGTTGGCACTGTGGTGAATTGGAATGAGTGTCGTACTATTGTCCTACCACTGGAAAAGTATTCTAAAATTAAATTAAGACCTTAGTTGCCATTTGGGGACTCAGATATTAGTCCAACCTTTCAAGTCAGAGATGGGGAGGCTGAACATAGAGAGGGTGAGGTGACCTAGTGGCAGAGCCGGGATTAGAACCAGGACTCTTATTCCTAATTTAACATGATTCATATTGCATTGTTTCTCTCTTTGATAAACTCATTCCTGCACTATCTCAGTATGTGCCTTACTGAGCTCCTTCTAGAATTGCACTGCCTAATATAGTAGCCACTAGCCATATGTGGCTATTTAAATTAAAATTAACTAAAATTAAAGAGAATTGAAAATGTCATCCCTCAGTCTCCCTGGATATATTTCCAGTGTTCAAAAGTCATGGGTAGCTAGTTGCTGCTAAATTGCACAACACAGATACAGAACATTTCCATCATCTCAAAAGTTTTATTGAATAGTGCTGTGAATATAGACTGCTCTCTGGGGCAGCTGTTCCATTTGCCATATTCTACTAAAGCTATTGATAAAGAAGAAAAGGATCCAAATGAATTCTATACAGATGAATCCATGAGCTTTTTCAAAAGGTGGAGGGACCCACAGAGCATTGCGCTGGCGTGATCAGTGAGATATAATCTGTCACTTCGACTCTCTCACCACTGACTCAGTTCTCAGTGGGGTGATGACTTGTGGACCGAAGCAAACTCATTACAATCAAGATCAATATGTACAGAGACTGTGGGGAGAAGCCGTCAAGATGAAATAATTCCCCTTTCTTTACATAGTGCCAGTGAAAACTTGTCTGTCATTTTTGCATCCTCTTCCACTAGACCTATAAGGCATCTGCATGAGGAAGAGAGGCCACATTCCCGCTTGCATCCAGGACCCGGATAATGTGTTGTTCCTATAGCCACAGTGGCCCAAGCCGCACCAGGTGTTCTGGCCTCTCAGCCTAAAGAGGGTGACTGTACTGAACATAATTGAAATCAGATTCCTTTCATTCTGCCGGGGGATCCTCTGTTCTCTCTCCATAGCAGAGGCCAGCATGTTGCTAAATGACTTGGAATGCTGGACAATGAGGCTTGCTAGTCTCAGCTGTTACTCAATGCCCAAGGCCTTGTTTTCTTCCATGAAGGCTGCCCCCACACCCCACCCTTCCCCTGCACCTGAGCCCCAGAGTCAAATCTAACTCTTCCATGTGAGGTACAGGCCAGCCAGCCACTGTGTCAAGGCAGAGACTCATTGACTTCCTTAAACTGAGTGATGAAGCCAGAACAAAGGGGTCAGTAAAACTGGATAGTACTAATGGTGATTTTCTCTATTATTTCTCTGTCTTTTAGGTCAAGTGGTGACAAGAAAGGACCTTGGTAAAGTTCTTCCTTATCCATATCTGGGCTTGGAGCACCCTGCCTGTTATAACTGGATCCTAGGGGAGCTCGCTTTCCAGTCCTGGGGCACCAGACTTCTATAGGGGCTATCTCTAAAGCACCAGAGAAAGATTTTTCAAATCAGATTCCATGGTACATTCCCAAGAGGAAGCAGATGTGATTAATTTGTAGCTTCTCTACCCTCTGTGGCCAACAGGCACTGTTTCAGCCTCATTCCTTGCCACCCCAAGATATATGCCTTTTTGCCCATGGGTACAGAAGAGGTGAAGGTAAGGAAACATTTCCAAAGTCTTCCCAAAGTTGAAATCCCTCTGCCTAAGGCCAAGAATGTTCTTCTCCATATCTCATCATGGAATTTGAAATATAAATGAATAACATTCTTGGGGGCTGGCTTTTCAGATGGCCCCCAAGATCATAAGACCCTAAAGCGTACACATCTCCTTGCAATTATGCAATTGAGAGGTAATCTATATGTTATTGTGCAAGAACTGGGCAGATGTAATTGAAGTCCTAATTCAGTTGGGATTTTAAGGGCGGTCATCTTCGATGGACCTGACTTAATCAAATAAAGCCTTAAAAAGTACTAGACTTTTCCTAGAAGGACACTCACCCAGTAAGAAAGATTAATCTGAACTAAATTGATTCTTTCAACTGAGGATCTAGCCATGTCATGCTAGACCTCGTAGAGAACCATAAGCCGATTAATGCTGAAGCTACTAAATTTGTGGTGATATGTTATGCAGCAACAGAAAATGAAT